ACGAATAAGTCCATGTTAGGTTACCCTCTAATGTTTTCCTAAGCTAAAACCTCAACTCCTAAAGCCTAACCCAAGACATTATGTATAAACCTAGGTTCATCAAATTTGTGGGGTTTATTTGACAAGGATGCAAGTTTGGTTAAACCAAATTTTGACACCTCAAAATTCCACTAATATGGATTTTTCCATCAAATGAAGTCAACATTTTGACTTTCTTCCTTTTGATTCAACAATCAATTTGAATTATAAATTTCAAATTAAAGTAATATTTAATGATTAATTAAATATTTAATTAATATTTAATATTAATTCAAATGTCAATCCCAATTAATTCCGACACATATTTGATTAAGATACTAAATTTTATTTAAATATCTCAGATTCTTTCTTTTTGTTTAATTCGTAAATAATACAAAAATGCAGTTAAATATATCGTATATATGTAGTGCATTCTCCCTAATTTGAATTCGAACACTTCGAACTCACTCGTCACACTGTTCTATGGTTTAGTCCGATATGAGCTATCAGAGGGACCTAATGGACCTATAGATCATGGACTCCAACGATCCAAGATTAACCTGTTAAACTCATTAACTTTGTTAACCAACATTCGTTAAGTACTAGGACATTCCACTATAGCCTAGTAGTTGCACTCCCCTCACTATAGATATATTTTTGTCCATTTGATATAACCATGATTAGTAAGTCGATCCTTCACAGGTTGTTCGTAACTAGAGCTGGGTCAATTTACCGTTTTACCCCTGAAGTTAATTCTTGTTTCTTATGTTTCACTGATCCTCTAATGAACCATTGGTTTGTGGTCCAACCAGTAAATCGGATCCCTCTCAGGTCAATGAGAGGGTGGGACCCCTTGTTCAAGACCTGAAGTCAGTATTTAAGGGAACTACCTCTCTTCTATCCCTAAAAGTGGGTAGGAGTGAATTTCATCTTGCACCCTACGTTCCTAGCCATTTACCCTCTTACCCCTAAAATGGGAGGCCTATTGAGTCGGCAAACTTGAGCCACTCTCACCCATGCAATTCTAAGGATAATTTCGAATAAACAGGAGTTCATGGTTAGCTCAGGATTCAGATCGAGTTACCTAGGTCATCGAATAAAAAGAAAATCAGTCTCAACAGTAAACGACATTATAAAGTGAGAGTAATTTTCTTCATGGTCTGATCTTATGCAATACTCATTACATAGGACACCCCCATTCACTTGTCTGCACATGTACAATTTAGTGATCAAATTGTTTATATCATATACAAAAGTGGGCCGCATCCATAGTGTCCCCAGAATAAGGTACTCAGTCTTATCCTTATATTATAGATCATTTTCACTATATACTTGAACTTGATCAACTCTTATGTCTCTACTTATAGTTCAAGTAATCATACTATAGCCCGAGTGTTCTTAGTTTATTGAATTTAGATTAATGATCGTAAAGTTCACTTTATAAAATAACAATCTTTACTAAATAAACAACAATTATAACTTGATTGAAAATAGAATATGTTTTTGTTTACAAACTTGAGTTTTAGGACATAAAACCCAACAAACTTCCACTTGGACTAAAACTCTAGTGGGGTTTTATAATGTTGAGTAGAGAGAAAGACATAAATACAATAAACTAGGGCATCACATACTCATGCCTTTTCTCCCACTTGCCCTAGATTACATAACTCGTAGTCCTAGACTCACTAGGTGCCCTACATACACTTTAGCCGTGAGGGGCTCTGAAAATTGATCAGCAATGTTGTGCTCTGAAGCTATCTGTGTGACGATCATATGTCCTCGTTGCACAATCTCCCTTATGAGATGATATTTGCGCTCAATATGTTTTCCTCACTTATGACTTTTTGGTTCTTTTGAATTTGCAACTGCTCCACTGTTATCACAATAAAGAGTGACGGGAAGATGCATATTTGGAACGACTTCCAAATCAGTTAAGAACTTCCTAAGCCATACAGATTCTTTCGCTGCTTCACAAGCAACGGAATGTGTTCATATAACACATGCGTTAGCAATTTGGATCTTAGGCACTTTTAGAACATCAATTATAGTAAATAACTATCATGTTCATAAGTATTAAAATTTAATGAGTTTGAATACTAACCTTTTGTACTTCAAATTCCTTTTTCCTCACGAACCGGTTTTGAACCACCACTAGTGTCTTCTCCACTATCCTCCGGCCTTAGAACGGGATTGTGAAATCCGGTGAGTGACTTAAACTTGGGAGAGAGTTTGTATATATGAAGAGAGTGTTTGTGAGAGGTTTTTCTCAAGGTTTTTCACCAACAAGAACCACCTTCCATGTACCATGATCACTCTATTTATAGAGTCATGTTTGCATGTTCATGCAAATTTGAGATCATTTTGACACTCAAAATTCCACTCAAGTTTGTGGGATTTATTTGGCAAACATTCAAGTTTGGTTAAACCAAATTTTGACACTTGAAAATTTCATTAATGTGGATTTTTCCATTAAATGAAGTCAACATTTTGACTTTCTTCATTTTGATTCAACAATCAATTTGAATTATTAATTTCAAATTAAAGTAATATTAAATGATTAATTAAACTATTTAATTAATATTTAATATTAATTCAAATGTCAATCCCAATTTAATTCCGACATATATTTGATTAACATATTTAAATCTTATTTAAATATCACAGATTCTCTCTTTTTGTTTAATTCGTAAATAAAACAAAAATGCGGTTAACCCATGACATTATGTATAAATCTAGGTTCATCAATAATCCATGTACCAAGTACCTAGAATTATGTGAATAACATGCTAAATAATTTGCTAGGATCCATACCCATAAGTAACCATTATCTGCCATTACGATGTGTACTAAAAGGCCCCTATTCCTCTTTAGGTAGGATGTCCTGCAATATGTATCATGAGCTGGATGTTATGATAGGCCTACCTTTCTTATCAGCTAAACGAGATGTCCTGCACCACGATTTACCAGTAGGATTACATGATTATGACGACACCACTCATGTGTTCATGGGGAGAAAATGGAAGGTTATTTTAGGGGAAGGTTTTCAGGATCAATATATGATACATGACACGATGACCTCTTAGTTCTAAGATCCTGAAAACATAACAAGAAGTAATATCCTAGCTTAAGGTCGCGGTTAAGAACCTACTAGTAGACTACTTACTAAGTATTACTCACTCCATGTTTATCATTTTTTTTTCAAGTAACTAAGAGTTGGCCGTGGATGAGAGCAGATTTTGGAGTGTGGGCCATGGACTAACCTCTGTTTTTAAAATAGTATTTTTTCTTCTTCTTTTGAGTCTCCTTCTTATTTTGTGTTTATAACGAGTTTGTATATGTAACACCCCAAACATGAAGAAAATGAGATCCCGTAAGAATAAGCCACTCATGAAAGACCCAAATGACAGAAAGAAAACAAAATTAAAGTTTTAAGCAAGAACAAGGGACTTAGTCAATTGAGTACCCTAACAAGTGATTTCAAGGATTGGAAACGAAAAAGTAAATGAAAAGGGCAAAAAAGTCATTTTATCAATTATCAAAAATCTTTCCGTATTTGTAATTCCTTATCTAGAAGGAATCTCAAGATTAAAAAATAAGGGGGAAATGAACAAAAAGCAATGAGAAATTTGTAGAAAAATTATGGATTTTTCGAGAAAAATAATAATAAAATATTCAAAAATTGGAAAATTACCAAAATACCCCTGAAAGAATGGATAATTAGAGAAATGCCACTCTAATTAGAATCAGAGCATCTACCGTGACCATCCGAGCAAAATCCTTCAAACTCAAATCTCAACCGTTGGATCTCCTCCAAAATTTGATATGATCTCAATGAACACGCACGGATCATCACATCCAACGACTAGTATTCAAAGCCAAGGTCGGTAAGGCTATGATCGGAGTTGATATCTCCGAAAAATTATCCAGAAAGTTCGATCACTAGATAACGAAGATTCTAGAGCTCTCAATGTCGGTTTAAGCTCCTCCGATAAAGTCTGAAGTAGGAGCAACAATACGGAATAAGAATCGAGAAAGGTTGATCCCCCAATCGAATGCAATAAGCGTTTAGATTATGGGTCTTCTACTCTCAAATTTCTTCTAAATTCAAGAGAAATCCTCCACCATTTTTCTTTGAACATCTAAATAACGAAGATTCTGGAGCTCTCAATTTTGGTTTAAGCATCTCCTATAAAGACTGAAGTAAGAGCAACAATACAGAATAAGAATCGAGAAAGGTCGATCCCCCAATCG